GTTTTAAATTCGAATTTGTTATTGCGTATTGGTTCGATTATAGAACGATTGTAAACGTTTCAGAAAATTGATCAAATTGAAAATAGTTCGTTTGATTTTCGGCAATTCTCTTCAGCGGTAGGTGTTATATAACAATTACTATGGTTATTGAAATATTGGATGTAAATGGGGTTTGCTTGCAAAACCTCCGCTGACGAAGTCGCGGGTAACAGCTAGTAGATATATATATATATAGATAATATAGTTAATATTATATATATTCGTCAGAAATGCTGTAAGAACAATAAATCTTACGGATCATACAAGCGGTAATTGGTTTCTTGACATCGTTTGGTATGCTGCATTCAAAATTGTCAATATTTTCTGGGCATATTTTGTAGTTATCATGGCACATTTGTTTAAAAAGTCTTTATATAAATATAAACGTAATAATTAAACAAATTTTTCTTTATTAACTCTTATAGAGTATTTTATAATTCGAATTTTAATCGTGGACCAAACTTTGATAGATTATAGTTTATAAAGACAAAATGTGATGATAATATTAAATAGATTTTCGCAATTGTAATTAAAGTAAAGGCGTACAAAATATTCAAGAATTGTCAATCGAATTGTTACATGATTCGCGATAAATTAAATAATTTATTAATTAAACTCGTCCTTGTCAAGTTTTTCACTTTATTAAATAAAAATATATTAAAACAAGATACTGATTAATTAACGATTATTAATTATTACAGTATATTTTATATATAAATTTTTATCTAGGAAATGTAAATGTATTGTCAGAAAACACCTATAGACTCTATAGATATGAAGCACATAGATAAATCAAGTTTAAGTTTAATTATTTTAAAGGCTATAATAAAAATTCTAAAGTAGGACATATATATTTATATATTTTTATTATAATTAAAGTATAATTAATATTACGTAAAAATTATTTTATTTGTTTAAATTCTGTATAAATTATCGATTTATTCAATTAGATTTAAAATTGGAAAATTTTATATATTTTTAACTTTGTACTTGGTTTGTTTATGTTAAAAATTGATATCAGTGGAGTGCATAGAAAATGTTTAAACGAAATTGATCGTAGTCTCTAGCAATTTTTGATTAACTATGTTAGAAGTTATACAGGACAGTTCTAATTTGTTATATTTTGGTGTTTTCTCCACCCTTATCTTCATTTGTTTGTTATTATTGCGGTTATTTAATTTACTCAGGATACATCTTCCTAATTGTACTCGGAATTTAAGAAGCTGTACACAATGGGCCATAATCACCGGAGGAAGTTCGGTGATAGGAAAAGGTTACGCTCACCAACTGGCTAATTTCGGATTAGATATTGTGATTATCAGCAAAGAATTAGAAGAGCTAAAAGCTACAGTCGAAGAAATCAAGAGCAAGTATGGCGTACGTTGCTGCTACACGCACGTTGATTTTACCGAAGAAAACGTATTCGAATTTCTAAATAACAGCTTGTATGGTATAGAAATCGGTATTTTGGTGAATTGTGCCGATATCGAAGGCGAAATTCCGTGCCAGTTCCTACAGGAATCCGATGAAAGTGTATACAGGAGCATAGATTTGCGAGTGAGAGCTGTAACACACATGACGCGCTTGACTGTGCCTTTTATGCTGGCTAGACAAAAAGGTATCATTATCAATATTGCATCCATATTTTCGGCTCATCCGTGCCCTTTTTTGAACGTATATTCATCGTGTAATGCGCTTTCTGATCGCTTATTTCGATCCCTTTCCTACGAGTATAAATCCCAGAATGTAAACTTCCAGTCAGTTATTCCTTTGAACGTCTGCAATAAAATGGAGGAAAAAATTGTTCAAGATCTTCCAGTTTTGAAATTCTTTATTCTCGATAGAGATCGGCTTGTAAAAAATGCCGTTTCGACTATCGGCCTTACTGATTATACCACAGGATATTGGCTGAGTGATGTCTTGTGGCAATTTTATTTAATTATTTTGTTCAAATGGTACTTATTCAAGTCCGAAAGCAAATTACAGGACAATAAATACCGTTAATTAACAGATTCAAATGAAGTAATTGATTAAAATAGTTTTATTTAAATTAAAATTGAGATTAAGTCATATAAAATTTTAAAAATGCATTAAATGAGTTTTATTGATTTTCAGATGGTTTTATATTAATTTAAGGTTACTTACAGCATTCATAAGTTTAATTTTTCATTTAAACTGGATTAAAATACTTCAACTTTGCATATTTAACGATAAATATTACGTCAAAGACTTTAAAATTGTTATTAATTTTATATCAAAAATCGAGAATTATTTTAATACGTATGCTGTAACTGAGTTATCGTTTTATTTACAAGTTGATAATGAAGAAAAATATCAATTTATTAAAATAATTAATCTAAACAAGTGAGTTATATTTACATACGTTGTATTATTATTATACTGTACATAATGGCGCATCCAGAAGAGGAAAAGGGTCGATGGCATTCTCCATGAAGAAAGAAAATAAACACTAGAAAATCTTCCAAAAATCTTTTCTTAATTAAAATTAATATTGTACGTGTCTGATATTTCTATACTACTTATGAATTAACAATGGTTTAAGCTTTAGAATTCAATAAAATTCCCACCTTATGTGAGCTCCCTCCAAGATTAAATCCCGAGCGAGTCACTATATAGACTTACTTTAAATGAATATTCTATATTCCTTTTCCAATTTTTATCATAAAAAACGAAAATTTACCTCTAATTAACTCAGTTTATTAATTATTTATAATGCTAATTATTTAAAGAAGAAATTCAAGTGGTTCGTCTGGCAGTTTTAACGATTCATAAGCAGAGAGATGAGAAATGAAAATTGATAAATGAAATTTTCATTTAGTTTGCCCTAATTCGATTCCGTTTCGTCCACAGTAGGCTTACATATTCTATATAAAGAAGACATAAATGTTAAAATTAGAGAAGTTTGCGAGATATGTAAACATGTGTTAACTCATTAACTGCTTGATTGATGATGTAGACTATAATCTGCTTATAGAGAAAACGTGCAGATACATAGTTTATTCTAAATTTAGAAGATTTTAACACGTTTACCAATCTCGTCAAGGGTGTTTTTTCGAGAACATTTAGGCCTACATTCAATTAGTTATCGCTGAGATCTGAAAATAGGTCATTCTAATGTTGCGAGTACTCCTAGTTACACGATACAATGGATTACCTTGAGAGATACTAATAAAATTTATGTATTCACTCAATAATTTTACTATTAAACGATGAATATTTTTACGTTTTGCAAACAGTAAAAAGTCTTCATATTGTATCACAGGGGCCTAGGAAGGTCATTTGACTCGGAACTTTTATTTATAGGCTTCAAATGCGTTATTTATTCCATTGTATATTAAAATAAACTCCTGAATTATTGTTAATTTTACGTTTTTAAAAATATAATATACATTTTTTAACGCTGTTCTTTAACGCTTAAGGCCTGAAGAAAGTTAAGTAATGTTTTGTCTATTTTAATGTGTTTAAATCTGCTATTATTATCTTCAATATTATTATTGATATATATATATATATATATTGATATATAATGGTATTAATATTATTATTTGATATACTGTATAAGATAAAGATGTGACGTTTGGTAGATAAGGCAAGGTTAAGCGGTTTTATTTCCAAAAATATAACTTACTTTCTTATTGTATTCCTTTCTTTTATTGTCCGCATAACTTTTCTGTTACTTATACAGAATTAGCAGCTTTTGTTTACTAAAATAGGTACCGGCTTTATTTTAAAGACAATTCTAAATATAGAATTTGTTTTTATATACACTATCTTTCAAAATAGCGTATTTTAATTTTTAATATTGGAAATAATCTAAAAGTCTATTAAACAACTGAAATATCTGGCAAAATTTCAAAATTAAAAAACAAAGTAATGAACTCACGAAACACTAGGGTTGTTTGAATTAAATGCGTCATCAATCCTTCTTAACAATGAGCTACATAGATGACAATTCAGATAGGCAAAATTGTTAACAACTACTTTCAAATTTCAACACAAACTGTTTTCACTCGTGCTTGTTTTTTTCCAGCAAAATGAATGGTTTTAGCCTTATAAATAATTGAATTTTTTTTTATTATGGATTAAATTCAAAAATCATTTAGTTTTTTCGGCCGCATTTGGGCACTATATATATATATATATATATGTGTGTATGTGTGTGTGTGTGTAGTAATTGACATGTCACTTATTGCAATAAGCCTACTATTTTACATATAGCCTATATAAAACGTTTTTGTCCGCATACGGCTGGCGTGGCCTTCAAATCGCACGCAGCTTTTGGTAATTCAAATATAGCCCAATTAAATATAAAATGATAGAGGCTTAATTTATATGAATTTTCAATTAGTAAAATGTGCGTTCTGTTCTTTTCTCCAGTAAAGAGGCCTATTTAAATGTTATATGCATGTAGAAAATGTGCATTTATACAAACCGAAATACAATATATAACCGTGAAAGATTTCCCCATTTCTCCCTAAATCTTAATTTTTACTCTGTAGATATTTACATATATACATAAAGGAATTTTTATATATGTAGGAATTATACTGTATGCATAATATACATATTATATACGTATATANATTAAGCACCCCCTAAACATCCTAGAACTCACTAATCTCTTATGCCACATTATTTTTGCTTAAAAGACATGACTTTTAAGCACTTTATTTAGAAATTAATATTTTTAGTTTATAGCTAAAACACAAGACTAAATTTTCCCTTCATTAGATTTTTTCATAATTTTTTAAGTTTACATATTTATTGTCATTCAAGAATATGCAAATTGTGATAGAGAATTATTCTAATTATTCTAAACTTTTTGAAGTGACTGTATAAACAAATTCAACTATTCAAACTGAGTATGCATACATATCCAGCAATAAATTACAAAACCAGTGTTAACCAGTCATTGTTAGACTAAAAAGACCATCATGGTTTGAATGCAGCTGTTAAAACAAAGTTCAAACAGAAGCCAGCCATCTTGAATAAAAAAAAATCATGAGGAGGGGCAGAGACAAAACTCGGATAATGTGTAAGCTTTCTGTAAACTTTAGTTGATGTGCATCCATTGGATATAATAAGCAAACTTCTTGTTCACTGTCCTGTTCCAAGTGGAGGTAGATGCCAAAGGGTTTGGTGTTGATTTTATGCATGAAATCTTGATAACAAATTTTTGCTGATCATCTTTGATATGATGATGGTGGGAAGGATGGAAGCCTCAAGTTGTCAAATGACCAGTTCACAAAGGTGTCTGAGAGGGGGTTACCCATAGTCATGCCCCTCTCACACACTTTTTTGCTTTTGAGAGCATGACTTTTCTGCAAGATAAAAGTCATGTCTTTTAAGCAAAAAGAATGTGGCATAAGAGATTAGTGAGTTCTAGGATGTTTAGGGGGTGCTTAATAGAGTCCTGAACATTATTAAGAAGTTACATAGAGAACAAAAGAAGGATTCAATGTGAATGGAAGGCTAGAGAGACTGAAAGTCACATACCATAAAATATATATCGTCTTGGAATGTGAGGCATTCAATTAACTCTAGAGCAGGGGTCTTCAACTTGGGTTCTGCAGAACC